TTAGAGGTTATGGAATTAACCAAATCAGTCTCTGACTTGTTCTTTGTCTTCACATTATTTTCACATGTAAACATGAGATGTTGATTAAGAGGTCATATTAACCACATAAATGGAGATTAATGATTTTCAAAAAGAACTAAACATGAACACTTCAAAAGATATACCTCCATCAGAAGTCCTGCTGTCAAGCAACAGTTTTCTCACTTTCAGATTATTGTTTTGCTTCTCTACAACTGGGGTACTTGAATGTCTGTAATACTTTTTATGCCCATTTTCACCTGCAGAGGAGTGGACACTATCATTTAAACCCCCATTCGCAGTTTCAGTAAGGTTATTAGTTTTGCTTGAAGACTGCATCATGCCTGATTGTTTGCTTTCATCTAAAGAATCTTTGGATCCCTGTTTCTTCTTACCACTAGCATCTGCAATTTGTAAACTGTGATTTCTGTTCTCCACATCTGAATGAAAAACATCAGCTGTAGAAAATCCTACGAGGTTCCTATGATGATGTTCATTCTGATTTTTTGTCTGTGCCTCGGAAGCAGGCGTAGTAATGACAGCAGCAGAAAACTGGTATAAAGCTCTTGAAGCCGTCGTTGTCTCGTCCTAGCTAATACTACAGCGGTTAAGACCCGACCTATAAAAGGTAAGACTAATCACTTTAGTGAAAGGAATCTATGAAACTTAAAAAAATAGTTTTTGATGAATTTAATCATCGTAAACTTTCACAGGAATATGAGATCAGATGGTTCCAACTTACTTCATAAGTTGAAATTGTCCTCATATAATTATTCTATGGTAAAGTCATGTGTATTCTTATTACTTATAATAAAGGTCTACCATACTGATCAAGTCATATTATATGCATTACACAAAAGAACTTACAGCCAGTCAAGCATTTTACAAAGCCAATTCTTCGGGAAACTTTTAGGATCTGTTCCAAGTGGAAGTAGATGCCACTTTTGACACTTATCACACATAACCCAATCTTCTTGGACTAGTGGAGCCTCAGCCATTGGAGCAGAAGTAGGGTTGGGCTCAATCACATTGATTATTTTCATGTTTGGGTCTGAGCTATGGTGCTCTGTCAAGGCAAATGGCTTCTCAACTTCAGAAGCTTTAGATTTCACTTTCACCACACCGGAACATTCTACCAGGTGAGTCTCGTTAGTAGCATCAGAACCCTTCAACATTTTGGGTGAATGTGTTCTCTCTAAAAAAAATTATAACCGTCTTGCTCAGCTTCTAGGTTCCCAGATAATTCATGGTATGAATCTCTAGGACCCCATGATATGTCAAGGTCAATGTTGACGCGACAGTTAATATAAATATAGAAATTGGGCATGTGGATCACTACGAATGATTAGGGTGAATTTCTTAAAGCACCTCGAAGGTCGCAACTGGGGCCACGTTGCCATCTTCTAAGTCATTTGACTCAATTTCTGGAGCTTGATCTTAAGTATCCACCATCAATGCCCGCTAAGAGCTCCAAGAGTAACAAGTCGGAACCCCCTTGCTGACTCAGCTTGAAGAGTGTATTAGAGGTTCCCTGAGGAAGCTTCGTCGGTGCTGTCGGAGTCCTAGCGAGCTTGCTCCAGTCGTTTTTGCTCTGTTGTTGGGTCCACCGGAGGAAGCTTTGCCGCCAATATTGCTTGATAGAGTTGTGTCGTCCCCTCGGTAGCTGCTGGACTACTCCCTTAGACGCAAACAAGGTTGTCCACTTTCCAAACGTGAAAGGGGGGCAAAGCTTTGGCAGTCGATTATCATGAGCTAGGTCAAATTGGTCAAAATTATTGGTGGGCCTCCTTAATAGTGGATCTGATTTCTACACGGGCCCTTATTTCAGCTCAATCAAAAAGCTAGGGTACTCCAAATTTATCTCCATACAATTAATACGTGAAAATATTTGATTAGAAAAAATACAAATTGAAGTATCAATAACATAGCATCAAAATTCAAACTCATGGGCGAGGCATCTGTTAAAAGATTTTAAAGCGTACGTCTGGCGGATTCGAACTACAAACTTGAGTTATCTGTTTAAAGACCTTTTAAAGCGTACGTCTGGCAGATTCGAACTATGAACTTGAGTGACAAGTTGAGCCATATTATTAATTTATTATCATTATTTTTCAAGAAGTGTGTATTTTTTTAAATTGAAAACGGACTTATATAATCTGATCACCCACATACACAATCATAAAGTGCTGATCTCTCACACCAACGGGCCACGTCATACGGTTGTGGCGATTAATAGTGCTCCGATCCCAATCTGAATGTCATCTAATGCATATTTTAGTTTCTATGTTTGGTACGAGTAATGTGTGTCCTCTAACTATCCAATTTGATCTACAACCCCCAAGTGATAGGTTCAGTTCTTGATGCATGCCATGCTCCAACTAAGCATAGAAATCTAGCTTGAGCTCTAGCTTGAAAATTTGAGGCCACTTAATTTAAGCTCAAATTGAATAGCGAAATATAATCTCAAGAAATAGTAACAATTTTATTTCAATGCATAGGTGTAACTAAATGATGACATTTTTATTGCAGTGGAGTGGTGATTTTCTTATCTAATAGAAATTTCAAAGCTTGTTGATCAGTTTTATTTATAAACTTATTTCTTCGCAGGTAACATCTTTGCATTTTTGAATGACCATAAGCACGACAAAAAATTCCTTTTCATAGATGGAGAATCCTAGTTGCTTAGTTAGGGAATAATTTCTTGCTCAGAAATTCAATAGGTCTGTCGCCTTGCATCAATACTACCCCAATGCCCTCCCCACATGCATCAGTCTCAATGATGAATGGCTTGAATAAATATGATAGGGTTAGAACTAGGGTGGTTGTCATGGTAGCCTTGAACTCCGTGAAGGCTTGGTTTGCTTTAACCCCCACCCCCCCTCAAAACTTCAAGAGTTCATCTTACTCGGGTTGGGTGTCAGAGTATGTCTCCTTTATCTTAATACAGTAAACTTCTTCAACTCGACAAGGTTTCTCCTCATATAACATTTTATAAAGGGCATGGTAGGTGATGATGGGGCATTTCTCCTCACGCTGTATTTCAATCCTCTTTCCCTCATGTGTGACTGTCGCACTCATCCTTTTATAATCAAACTGGATTGGGGTCACTTCCCCCAACCATCTCTACCTATAATTAGATCAAATTCGGTGGAATCAAGTATCCTTCATTAATAGTTGAATGTATGTTTCTTCATCTTCCATCAGAATTGATTAACTTGAGTGGTGCTAACCAATTTGTGACCTCCTGCAACAGTCATCCTCAGGGGAGTGGCTTCCACCACCTCACAACCTAGCTTTTGGGCAGAAGATCTACTCATGAAGCCAAGGGATGCCCCAGAATCAATAAATATATGTAAATTTTGTTTTAAAGATTTTCCCTTAAAAGTCATGGTTGTAGGCCCCTTTTTGCAGGTTGTGGTGTCTAAGGTTAGTAGAACTTATTCCATTGTGTCTTCATGAGTATCCTCATTGGATTGTTCACCTTGATTGTCTTCTTCCGAGGCCGGATCATCTTTTGTTATTTGAACAAACACTTGTCTCTGTTTACACCTATGTCCGGGTGAGAATTTCTCATCGCAGCTGAAACATAACCTTTTCTCCCTTTTTGTTGCCATTTCAGTTTGGGTGAGAAACCTAAAAGGAGATTGTGATGTGGTAGAATTGGTCTTTGGTTGGGTGAGGCTAGGGTAAAAGTTATCTGTTTTTTTTTTGCACTAAGATTAATACCATACAATAGTTTCCCTCTCATTTTTATTTTCTTAGATAGAGAATCAATAGTCAACAATTGGTTTTTAACCAATTCAATCGTTGGGTCTATAGTTGATGGGTAAACATCTTCACAAAAGCTTTTAATTCCTCATTGATCCCACTTACGAAACTGGATAAAAAATATTGTTCCGTTAATGCCCCCTTATGTATCGTCTCCATACATGACTTGAGTTCTTCAAATTTTCACATACAACACTAGATTAGATGGTAGTTTAGTTATCACCCATTTAAACTTGACTAGTGTTAGACATTCTGGAGGACTTTGTGCTCAAATCTAGAAGATGAGAAAGGGCAAGAACATGAGTAGCTCTTGACAAGTAAATGATATTAGTGAAAAACCTTGGGATGACTGAGTAGCTTGGAATGTTGTTCAAATTCCTCATGAAAAAACCTCACAATCTCCGCCTGGGCCAAGGGTAGATTGGGCACTAAATGTAATGAGATATTCATTTAGTGGAAATCCATCTGAAATAGATTGGGACTGGATGTAGGAGGATTACACCACCTCTGAACTAGGATACATCTTGTGTCACCTTTTATATTCTCCTCCCAACATACACTTCAGTTCTCACTCATCTTCACAACTTCAGAGCAAAACGACTTGCTCTCTAAAACTGGGGCTGGGACCGGTTCGGTTCCTATATGAAATTAGTGGAACCGTTATAAAAAATTTAACTAATCAAGTCTGTTTGGTTTCTATATGAAATTAGTGGAACCGTTACAAAAAATAACTAATCAAGTCGGTTCGGTTCCTATCCAAAAATTCAAGAACCGTTATGGAATCGAACCAATAGTGAACGGTTCGGTTCTTACTTTTATCGGTTCCTACACGTACACCCGCGTGTACAGTATAAATTGTCATGTTTTTTTTATTCCCAAAGTAGGAGTAATTACTGCCAAGTTTGGAAAATACTGCCATGTTTGAAGTCTGGTATTGCTAAAACATGACAGTAATTAGTCATACTTTGGGAATAAAAACATGTCAGTCCTATTTTGGAATTTTCAAACTTTTTTAGCCGGTAATATTCTCTTCATAAATCAAGTTTTCAATAAAAAAATCAACTTCTTTCATTCAAAAAAAAAAAATAAAAAAATCAACTTCTCAATACCATATGAATCAATTCAATCAAGTGTTTACCAGCGGAGTTTATGTTAAATTATTTGCCACATACTACGCATATTTTGTTCTACAAAATTGAGACATACGCCGCATATTATAACATGGTAACTCTTATTACAAGGAGAGCTCGACTCGTTTAAGGAACAGCTTGCTTACAAAAGGGACTGTACGGACAGTGTTGGGCTCTAGTATAGAGAGAGAGATAAATAAAGCATTCTCTCTATTCTACTGTGGCAAGCCGTATTTTTGTATAGAAGAAGCAATACGTATAAACTTTGGAGGTGTATGAACGATCAGAAGCAGTGTTTGTTTGACGCCTAATTCATCTCTTCTCCTTTGGATTTCGGCCTGAAGAAGCTGCCTCAACAGAAAAAACCTAGAACAACTATGGAGGTGTACGGACGGAGCAATATCAGAAACGGGTCGCATCCGGATACGGGCGCGGAATGGGCTCCGCCTGGGTCAGAAACGGATCTTGAAGGTGGGCTTCAGCTTCGATTTCGGGTCATTTTGGGTTTTTTCTGTCCGCATTGAGGAATTTCTCTGTCTTTCGTTTTCGTTTTGGCGAAGATTTTCTTCTTATGGGCTTGTCATTGCAGAATCAATGCAGAGGCTGGGGATATGGGGCAGAGAAAGGTACCCGGAAAGGCCCGGCGCGCCGCTCTGCTCTTACTACATGAGAACCGGCGTTTGCGGCTATGGTTCCAAGTGTCGGTTCAATCACCCTCGTGATCGTGGCTCTGTAAGACCTCCCTCCCTCTATTCGCTAGGTTTTAGTAGCATGCAGATGTTGAACTGTTATTTTTGCTCTTATTCTCAAAGCCCCCATTGTGATAATGGTCCTAATTGAAATTTCCCCTTGACATTGAGTTTTTCCTTAAAATAGTCAGGGAATTTCATGCCAATCATATGTTTGCTGCTGAACTGTTGATGTTAAACCATCTATTTCGGTTATTGTGACTTGACTAATATATATTTGGTCTTCGAACTGTTCTGTTGGGAAGGTTGGGGCAGCACAGTTTGGAGCAGGGGTATATCCTGAGCGACCTGGGGAGCTTACTTGTCAGGTGAAGCAATTTAGATCGTCTTGCTCATGGTTGATATCTCACATGCAGTTTTTTTTTTTTTATTTTCACTCTTTATTGATGAGAAAATTACTACAACCAAAAGAGGTGATGTTTCCTGAAATTTGACTAAATAGCCCCACCCAACTGCTTTCGGGTTACTATTTTAACTTCACTGCACTTATGACATTCATATGGATGCATGCTTCAATTTTCTAGTCACATGTTAGGAATCCATGAATGTTTTAGTCACATATACACGATTTTTTCGTATATTGATTCAACAGTTTCGTAACATGCAGTTCTATTTAAGAACTGGAACCTGTAAATTCGGTGCTTCGTGCAAATTCCACCACCCAAGAAATGCTGCTGGATCCTTGATTAACGTCCCACTTAATATTAATGGATACCCGTTGAGACCGGTGAGATGATTTATTTAGTTTGTCACACCTTTTTGTGTCTCATTATTTGTTGTTTCTGTAATTATATTAAATGTGGAATGGTAACAGGAGGAAAAAGAATGCTCTTACTATTTGAAAATGGGGCACTGCAAATATGGTTTAACATGTAAATACCATCATCCTCAACCACCTGGTATATCACCAGGCCACCCCCCAGCAACTGCACGTCCATTTTATCCTACCGTGCAGTCTCTTCCAGGACCACCACCTTCCACGGAGCACTATAGTGGTGCAACCACTGCTAACTTTAGGGCCACAAGGCCTCCATTATTACCTGCTTCATATTTGCATAGTGCTGCTTATGCTCCTGTCCTGATTCATCCCGGCATGGTTCCTGTTCCTAATTGGAGCTTCTCGGTAATTGACAACTTATCATGTTTTTTTAAACCAGTGTCTATTATTATGGTGGAAATGCATGCCTTCTTTTTACCCTTTGTTCATTTAAATAGAAATACAGAAGAAAGGTAACGAGAACAGACTACAGTGAGAGAAAAGGCAGGAAGCTATTGTCTGATTTGGAGAGAAATAGGAAGAAAGAATTTGAGAAAAGGGAAAAATGAGAGATAGGGCAAAAACTATTGTTTGGTTTGGAGAGAAAGAATTAGAACAGACTGAAATAAGAGAAAATGAAATAAACTATTGTTGGGTTTGGAGAGAAATAGGGAATAGAGAAAATGAGAAGAGAAGAAGATGAGAGATAAGGGAAGAAACTATCATTTGGTTTGTCAATGAAAAGAAAGAAGTGGAAGCCACCTACTCTCTGCAATCTCTTCTACTGGCAAGAAATTGGGAGGGAGAGATCTTTGCTTTGTTTACACTCCTATCCCGTCATCTGATATACAATGTATAATATGTTGCTTGTGTTTTGGCCTTTTAATATGTACCTCTGGTCTTTATTGTAGGCTGTCTTTTAAAATTATTCTGGTCCACCTTTTAAGGCATTTTTTCATAAAGCATTTTATGTTATTTTCCATGGCTTGCCTGTAATCAGTGTCATGTTTCTTTTTAGTTATAGAAGTATTCTTTTAGATATCATAATCTAAAAAAAATCAAGAATATTATCTACTTCCCTTGGCTTGTACTTTTTTTTGTTATCAACTGTACCTCATAATAAGGATCGGACTGGAGAAAGAAAAGTACATTTCTCTCTTTTTTCTTTTCTTTCTTAGCAAACATAATATGGAATCCACTTTTTTTTCTCAATATTTCTTCACACTTTTTTCTTTCTCATTTTCCTCTTCTCTCTCCGTAATTAAACGGAACTAAGATTACTTGATGCAGGCACCTGTTAGCCCTTCTCTTTCAACTGGTGCTCAACATTCTAATGGGCTAGCTTCTGTTTATGGAGTATCAACAATGGCTTCTTCTCCAAGTGCCTTCCCAGGACCTTATTCCCATTTGCAGGCAGCATCCCCTGGTCCTACCAGAAGTGTGCTGAATGAAAAGTGTTTCCCTGAAAGACCGGGCCAACCTGAGTGTCAGCACTACATGAAAACTGGGAGTTGTAAATTTGGGTCAACTTGTAGGTTCCACCATCCTCCAGGCTGGAATGCATCAAACATAAATTGTGCTTTCAGCCCTCTAGGGCTTCCTCTGCGTCTGGTATGTATGCATTTTTCTTTTATCTTTCACTTGGTTAAATATTTTGAATGAAAATAGACCTAGTTAACAAAAACCATTGACCAGTCATGAAGACATACTGATTTATGAATATACTTATTAGTTAACAATAACTAATAAATGTTGGAACCGAACCAAACCGAGTCATAACGGTTCGGTCCGGTTCGGTTCTCCGGTTCTTGGTTCCAAAGTCCCAGCCCTAGTTTTTCTTTCTCCCATCCAGATTCGACCATTTTTATTAAACCTTGTAATTAATTAAACCTATAAGCTCAACTATGATTGAAAATCTTTACCTAACAAAATAAACAAAGTACAACACCAACACTCAATACATAACAATTACTCCGTAACAATTATTTATCAAGTATTCATAATTATTTATAAACATTAAACAACTATGAATGAAATCAATTTATCATTTAATAATGTAGTCAAATAATCATACATTTATATTCATCAAATAATCAATTAATCAATAAAAGAAAAAGTAAAAACTGTAATTCTGTAAAACAATGACCGGAGGTGTACCTGAACTCCTGAATCCTTGGAGAGTTGGAGCTGGACGCCTGGATTGAGAGTCTGAGAAGTGAGAAGCTGACAGCCAAGATTCCGATTTCCTAATTTCCGATTTCCGAGGCGGCCAAGGGCCCAAGCAAAAACTTGATCGGGCTGAACTTGCAAGTATACAAGTGCCGATGTAGTAATAAAATACCGGTAAATACCGGGTCGATCCACAGGGAAATGGTTGTTATTATAAAGTCGAATATTGAATGCAAAGAATGTAAATGATATAGTTTTTCAGGAACTTTGTTCTTTGAGATTGGTTTAAACAAGAATGAGAATTACTAAGGCAATCGGGATTCACCTAAATGCTTTAATAGTTATTTAATAATAGTTCTTTCCCAATAATCATGAATACGATGTCGCTAATATATTCTCAACTCCGGTTAAGGCAGCGAGAGCGTGGTTTTCGTTACGTGTAAGTCCCGTTACGGCTTACATTCATCTACCGAAAACCCCGTTGAATATCAAGACATCACACCCGTATCATATAAGACCGGATATATTTCTATTCTCGGTACTATATATGTTTATCCTTTAATGTTCATAGTTTAGACTTCAACGTTAATTGCAAGCATAAACTAAATTTAACATACTTCTATGTTGTACACCATAGTCATAAACAATCAAAATATAAAGGATAAATCACAATTTATTGGTTTAGAACTTTTATCAAACACCTAATATGCATAGAGGTTCATCCCTAGCCTTAGCTTAGAAATTAGCCTCTAATGCTCATATTAATCACAATACAATATTGAAATGTAATGGAACATGAAATTACAAAGGAAATAATACCTAAACACCAATGGTTTCGGAGGTTGAAGTTTCCTCCTCAAGAACTTGAAGAACAATAGCAACAAAGTATGAAAACTAGGAATTAAAGTATGGAATGGGATGTAATTGCTTGATGAATTAAGGGCTTTATATAGGCTAAAGAATGACATCTTTTAGTCTATTCAAGCCTAACAATCGGGTATGGAAGCAATATTTGATCAGATATGGAGGAAGATGAAGTTTTCCCATCAAGAATCACTTGCACGTTGCTGTGTTTTAGCAGAAAATCGTCCCAACCGGCGCCGGTTATGTTCCGACCGGCCCCGGTTCAAAACAGCCTCATTTTTGCGTGAAAAAACCTTCCGACCGGCGCCGGTTCTTGACTAACCGGCGCCGGTTGCTGCGCCCAACAATACACTTCATTTTTCTTCTTCCGAAATGGATCAAAAAGTATCGGGTTTTGTCCCAGGATTTTGTGGATGTTACGCTATGAATTTGAACATGATTCCTTCACCAAAGTTGTATATAATGAAGTCTTCTATCCACCAAAACTTGAATGACGTGATTTTATTCATCTAATCAAACGTTATGGCTAAAACACTGAGAGGTATGCATCCTGAAATCCCACCAGCAACATCTGACTTTGTTGGTTGATTGAGTCTTGTTCCTTTCATATTTTGGCCATGACGTCTTCATAACATTTGTACCTTATTGAGTTAGCATTCACATGAAACTCGAATCGAGTGATTTCGAGTTCTATAAAATACGTTATACTCAAATTATGGGCAGAACGTCATTCTCTTGGTCTAAAAAGTCGTTCATCGCAATGTTTTATGCTCTAGCTCTCATTCTGGATATATTTGCCCGATTTCTCTTCTTTTCTTCAACAAATACTTAAATACTTATGTTAGACACAAGTAAATATAACGTCTATCAGCAAGCGTCGTTCCCAATTGCTTCTTCCTTGGCGAGTTCCGTCTACGTCGAAGGCACAAGGCTGACAGGCTAAGATGAAAGACTGTTTTAACGGACGTGAAAAGTTGAAGACGGAACTCCCGGTTGAAGTCTCCGTGTAACTCAAATTTTTCGTGTTTTTAGCCCTTTGGGCTGATTGGACCGGACAGATTCAACAATTTAGAGCTGAAAATTTTAGAATATATTTTCTCTTTTTCATATAAAGTTCTCATTTTCTTTTTTTTAAAAAATAATAACAATTTGAAATGACAGCTTTTTTAAAGAAGAAGACTTAATTAATACTCCCTCCCTCCCCCTAACTTTGTCCCGTTTTACCTTTTTCGTCCGTCTCATTAAGTTTGTCTCGTATTATATTTGGTAATATTTGGATGGTTACCATTCATTTTTACTTTATTCATACTTTATCAATTCAATATCAACCACACAATTTTACTTTTTCTTAAAAGTTTTGCCACATCCCTTTGTCCCCAAACATAGTGGGACGAAGGTAGTATTAATAACGAGAGTAACAACTAACAAGAGCCAAAGCAACACAATAGCCTAAGGCTACACTGAGGTGAGACATAGAATTGATTGGCCTCTGAGGACCTGTCATATTTGCTAACTCCGCATCATGGTAGTTTAATCTAACAACATCGCTGAACTTGCTACTAAAAGAAGAAATCACTAAACAAGAATTATTTAAATAAAAATAACAAAATAAATCAAACGTCTCGGTTCTACCGGCCACCAGGAAGGGAGAAGGGGTTTGACCATCCACCTCCAAATAAATTTATATTAATTTATAATATATTAATAAATAAAATAGAGTCAAAGTAGAATACATGAATATTGGAAAAAGTCCAATGTTGCATTTTAAAAAGAATGGAGACAGTATTAAAAAGGCTAAAGGGTCAAATAGGCCCCTGTACCGGTCGTGTAAGCTCAATTGAGTCCCTGAACTAAAGAAAGATCCAATTCACACTCCAAACCGGTAAAAAGGGTTCAAATTTCATTTTTTAAGGTTAAACAACCGGTAAAAATGGTCTAATCCGCACCCCTAAACTATTAAAAAAATATCAAAATTGCAATAAATCGAAAATAAAAATAGAAACAATAAAAAATGTTTAAAAAAATGACCAGTTTTTTACCAGTAAAAATGAAATTTGAACAATTTTTTGTTGGTTCGGCGTGTGAATTGAACATTTCTTTAGTTCAGGGGCTGAATTGAGCTTACACGACCTGTACAAGAACCTATTTGACCCTTTAGCCTGTAAAAAATTATGTTGGAAACATGATCATATGATTTTTCACAAATGTAATTTTATGGTGTTGAGTACATAATATAAAGTACACAAAACATTTATGAGGATGCAATTAAAATTAAATTGTACTAGATGTAACATTATGTATTTTGCAAATGACATTTTAGAATGTTAACTGCATCCTGAAAACACTTAGAGTATTTTAGATTATGTATTTTAAATTTATATTTGTAACAAAATATACAATTATGGTATAAAAATAACTTTTTATATAATGTTCAATGTATATATATTACACGTGCAAGCTTATATTATTTATCTCACACTCCCACCAAGGTTAGGGGTATTTATATGAGTTTTCTGTCATATAAATGTGACAAGTGTAATAATAAAAACAACAAATTGTTTCTTGTACAATTTCAAAGTGGCACTTGATGGTTTGTTATCATAAATAACCACTTTTTGATACGTTGAATCAAGCCCATCACAACTTCTACTTTTTAAACCGTCGTACAATTGTTCATTGAAAAAATGGTTGTTGCATAAAAAATTTGTACTTTTCAAAGAAAATTTTGTAATGCAACTACATGTTCCATGAAGGTTATGATATACACATAGTATGTTGGACCTGATCCTAATGGCCTATTTTATAGCAATACAAAATGAAAATGGCCCATTTTGGACCCAAACCGCACTGCAGTTCCAACCCGTTTGCCCACCCCTAGTGGGGGCGACTATGTGATTGCGTGAGGCTTTCGGATTTTAGGGTTCACCTTCCGATTACGGGGTATTTGGACTTGGCCCGAAACAAAGGTCTACCCATTCTATTTTTTTCGATCGAAATTGAAAATGATACATCTTCTGATAATGACACTTTCGGTATTCGTCTTTATTTATAATTCCAAATGTTTTTTGAAGGAAAAAATGCTCATTCTTTTGTTTCCAAAATGTGCAATTTCAACCCCGAGCAAAACGAATGATGTGTCTTGAGTTATGAAAACTAGCATAGGACATGTACACATGTTGATCTAGGTTCAATTTTTATCGATTTTCACTTATATTTTTATATTTTTTTAAACAAGATGACTATTTTATACTCATTCAGGTCCTAAATAAACTTCATATTTGACTTTATGATTTTTAAGAAAATTCAATTTTTACTTTTGACTTTCTCATTATGGCCCTGCATAAAAGTGATAAAGTGTAGTGAGAGAAAGAAAGTGGGTGTGAAATAGGTAATAAAGTAAGGGCATATGATATTAAGGGGTGTTTGGAACTGATTCTGCATCTGATTCTTTTTTAAAGCAGAATCAGATTCAGTTTTCAGGGGCTGGTCCCCCATCTTCTAAAAAACTGGTTCTAAGGATAAATCAGAGTATCAAAATTACTCACTTTCATCCAAACACTCGAACTTCTGTAAATGAGTATAAGGAGAAGCAGTTTCAAGAAGATCAAAACAGCCTAATGAGTAATTCATCCACATTTTGCGATTGCTTCAACTTTAAAAAGTTATTTTTTAAAAAAGTGATTTTGGGAAAAGTGATTAATAGTAAAAGTTGGTAGTGTTTGAGAAAAAAGTGATTCTGAAAAAGTAAAAGTTGGTAGTGTTTGGTAAAATAAGTACTTTTTATGTAATAGAAAAAGTGAGAAGCAGTTTAAAGCACCCTTCTACCTGCTTCCAGCTTTTAGCTTTTAAGTGATTAATTTAAGCAAAAGCTATCGTTTGAAAACACTTTTTTCAACTTTTTTTAAGCCAAAAAATGAAAAGCTCTTATTTTTTAATCATCCCCAAACACTCCTTTTATCCGTTCGAATGAGTATGACTTCTTATATTTGGGGGGCACGTGGTCACCATAAGCTGTAAAAATTGAAGGCCCAAAAATTGGCAGGCAGCTTCGGCAATTCAAGAGTTCTCCCGGACCACCAGAAGCGTACAAGCGTTCGTCCACAAATCTGTAACGCTGACTTGCATCCGCCGAGTCGCCGACCTCTCGAGGGCCCAGGTGACTAATCGCCCACCGTGTAGGGACTAGGGCACGCCAGCCGCCAGCACCGCAGTCCGCACCAGCCACCAGTGCAAAACGAGTCTACCTTCTACGGCCCCTACTCACCACCTCTGAAGCTGTGAAGCAGGTAAGTTTATCTAGTTTAATTTTTAATGATATATTATTACTTTTCTCAATATGTTTGGATTATTTATTTATTAATTTTTTTCATTAATATGGGATATTGTAATTGACTTGCTCATTTTAATTATTTATTAGGGCCATTGGGGCTTAGCCCTACTAATCTGTGATGTAATTTAATAACTTAGGTTGTTGTTTTTGATTCTGTGTAATTAATTAATTGATGAATTAATTAAATTATTTATATTTAATAAATTGGTATAAGTATGTTCTTACTAACTAGTATTATACCCGTGCGATGCACGGGAAGTGTAATTCTCATATAGGTTTCTGAATAATACGTAGTATGAATAATACATGTAATTTAATTTTAGTACATAAGAACTCAAATTTCGTAATATAGTAATATGAATTGTAAATATACATCTAGCAAAAAAGAAATAAATAAAATATTTTCACAATAAAAGTTTTTTAAAAGATGAATGTTATAAATGCTTTACAAATTTCGAAAACATCCTTTAATACAACATTGGACGTTATGGTGGTATTTTTTCCATATGTCACATATAAATATCATCAAACCACCGTCATACCGATTATTTTACAAAAAAATATTTATTTACGATGTCATGAAAATTTATTTCATGTAAAATACTCTGCAGTAAACATCTTTTTTAAAATCTTTTTAGGCTTTGTTTGCAAACAATTAATTTAAGTGCTTTTGGTTTTTTCTTAAGAAAATAGCAATTATTTTACCAAACAATACCAACTTTTACTTTCTCGGTTTTCATGTAGAAACTACTTTTTACTTTTTCTATTACACAAAAGCACTTATTTTACCAATCATTACCAACTTTTACTACTAATCACTTTTTCCCAAAAAGTGCTTTTATTTAAGCACAAACACTTGCAAACAGAGCCTTAGTAGTTGACATGTCTAGAGAACAAAATCCCACAACCCAAACTCAACCCAAAACCCAAGTATAAAATACTTTCCCGAGCCCTAATCTCATCTATGCTGAATTGGCATAGCCTTCTCAACCTTCTCATCCCCAATGATCGGCGAGCATCATCACATTCATTGTTTGTCTCTCAGCCTTTTCGCCCTTACAAATCACATGTAAGCACTTTCATCCTCTCTGATCATCAGTTACGACACTCGCACAAATCATAGCAGTGGTTAATATATGTGGTACCAATCAGTAAATTACTTTGAAATTGATATTTTTGAAATAGAAGCTTTTTAAAAACAAAATAGAAACTACAAAATAGAAACTAAACATTGTTTATTAAAATAATCAAGAATACCATATGTTGATTATTAAAACAATTACATTCACAGTATTGGTCTAGAAAAAATACCGTAAAAAAACCGTTGTTTTGTTTAACTGTGAAAAAAATATAACATGTGTGATTAAAATATAACCTCTTTAAAATTTGATTAAAGATGTTTTTCATAGGACTAATTTTTTTATATGATATCATTTGATATGGTAAATATCTATTCTATGTGAATTTATTATTGACTAAGTCTGATAAGGTCCAATATACTCTGATCTGGTTTGATCAAATTCGAGATTGACACTGAAATCAGTCTACTATAATCCATAAAGAACTACGTAGTATTAGGCTATCTCATGAGACTTTTTTTATATGGAGTATACTTTTCAGCTAGATTTATAATTATCCTCATTATAGCTCCGACATTATTAATTTAAAATGCATATTATTTCAAACTGACTATTTTATTTTAATATAGCTAGAAGTATATAAAATCTTATATAAGCTTTAAATTATAAAAAATGTTCTTGGTCCATTTTTTTACAATATTAAATTGTGATAGTAAATCAATATTCTCAAACCTTATTTTTATCCAACTCCAGGCGAAAATCTAAAATAGGCTCTTACACATTCGTAAAAAGGAAAAAGAAACGCTCATTTACCTCCATCCTTTTACCCCCAATTACTTTCCTTTTTCCATGTGCACAATATACCCCTTGTTTGCCCAACACACTTCTTCCACATTCACGAAGCAGACAAACCACCATTGTCTCTCGAAGGCGCGTTTCAATCAATTGCATCCTTCACCAGTCAACTGCACCATTCTAATTAGTATCTCTATTCTGTCATTTCCTTAATCTGACTAATTTCTAATAATCTTGATCTTTTACAAACATGACTTAATTTTTTTGTCGTACAGACAAAAAAAAACTTAACTTACATAAACACGTGTAAAAGTTTTTTTCGTTCTTCAATACCCATAGTAGAAATAGAATTACAAAACTCGGCTCGAGGGGTAGCAAGGGTGGGGGCCGCTGGCCAAAAAAATAAAACCTTTTGGGCCCCTAAATCAGCCTAATTTAAAGTTTATTAAGTCCAATTGAACAAAAGCCCACAATTAACAAAAGTGTAGTACTTTGACTTCAGGAAGCCAAGTAGACAAAATTGGATCTAACTCATCGAAGTGTCCAACGCCCGGCTAAGTTGCCGACTCACTTCACTGCGTCTCCCGCCGGCCAGCTCCAGGACGCAGCACGTTGTCTCCTTCTCGCCTCACGCCCGTCAGCCGGTAGCCTGCACTCCGCCATTTACCGGCCCTTCGGCGGTTCGGCCAATCCGCCCTTCTCAATAGTCACCTTCCGACCTTCCGTAGTCCCGGTATTCCTCCATCATTCTCTTTATCTATATTGATTAGTTCCGGTATTTTCCCAATTGATCCCCTAATTTATGCCAAACTTCTATCCCTTTCATATTTAGACCTAGGTGGTGCATGTCTATTTCGGTTTCTCTATACGGCGGCTTGAGCACAGTTAAAGCTTGAGTCTTGAATTCAAAATAATCTACATGGGTAATCTCTAGAAGATATCATTATTTAAAATTTAATTAATATTCATGCATGGACAATCTCTTTTCAATCAAAGGTTCTAAATGGAGGGTTTACACTGCCACACGTCTATTACTCTGCTTACATATAATGAAAGGTACTAACTGTAGTAATTAACTACTACAGTATCTATAACAATATTAATCTAATTCATATGTAATATACGTTGTATGTAATATATATATATATATATATATATATATATATATATATATGTAATATGAAATCATGTTAAAGTGTTTTAATGCTTGATACTTCGTAGATTTTTTGTAAATCATAGATATATCTATTCTAAGACATTATTTTATAATTATACATGTTTTATGGAGCTGAGATTAAAAATGAGTTGTTATAGTTCTAAATTGAAGTGTATTCACAGAGTTCAATCTTTACTGTTTGAACTTGTAAACATCCCATTTTGTTACTAATTTATAATCACCCATATATACATTTTTACACACCACAGTACCCATATATCTATATAACACTAAATTGAACTATATGTCTCTTGAAATAATAGAATTCAATCTTCACGGTTTGAGCTTGTAACTTCAAATGTTGGTAAAGTTTTATAATCGGCAATAACATGTACAGTTTAAGCTGCATTGTATCAGCTTAAAACATAGATTCCACAAAAAGTAACCTGTCAACAATTTGTGATTCTGCATAAATCAATTTAGTGTTTTACCTTTATCACTGATGATATGCACAACTCTTTTTCTCATGTATTGTTCACTCTCTGTAAGTGTCACCATTTGATCTTCCCCCCCTAGCAGATCTGCCAAACGATGGAGTTGCTTAAGATATGCAAAATAAGCTACTTTCAATGAGTAGAAGGTATAAATCCCTCGACTATCTAAAGCTCAAACAGTAATTTACACAAAGCTCCAAATTAAACTATTTGAAATATTTATGTTTTTAAGAATTGAACCTATACTATTATATTTAAGAAAACATATCTACGGTTTGAAACATGCATCCACTTCATTTTAATAACCTAAATTATACTTTTCACAGTTATTTTCCAAAAAAATGTCTAATTAACATTTATTAGCGAAAGTGACTTGCCATTATTTCTTAAATATATCTAGCGTGCAATTTGTGTTTTATATTCTTACACATGCATTATTATTTTTACTTTTTATGCAATTATAATTACATAAAAAGTTTCCTTTTTACCCTTGGTTACTCGCTTCTTACAGACCTATACTTATATTATATACTCAAAAAGTGAATCTATATTTCTTCTCTCAAAAGATGCCTGAAAGTGAATCTGTGTTTTTTAATTGAAAGCTAATAGAAACCTATATACCTACATACATCAAACAAAAACTATAGATTTAAACATGCATCCTTTTCATTTTAATAATACTAAATTTTACTTTTCATAGGTAATAGTTGTAATAAATGTCTTTTTTATCCTTTCGAAAAAGACTCATTATCATTCACTTGAGCATAGCGACTTGCCACTTTTTCTTAAACATTTTAAATCCAATCTGTGTTGCTTATACTTGCAAACAATATTATTTCAAGTTGCTTACCCGCTTCATACAGAACTAATTCTGATATTACAAATACATACCTATTTTTAAGCATACAAATCTTGGATACAATCATGCCTTCTCATACCACTTACTTGATAATGACACATTGACAGTTCTCCATCTTGAAGTAGCTTAAAGTAGCTTGATGAAGGTTCCGTGTGCTCTTTGCTCGTTATATATACTACTCCGTATATACATATATATGGTCTTATACTCTTATCCTGCACCAAGACAATAAATACCGAGTATGTGGTATTGGTAATTTCAATAGTCATTTTGAAGATCACTCCAATTTATTACGGAGTATTATTCTCTTTTGTAAAAATTGTGTTGTAGTGGGGATTCTATAAGTCACTTCAATTATTATTCTACAAATTGTACTCCGTATATACTATATAGTTGGGAATTTAAAAAGTTACTTCAAGTATTGCTCTAGCATTTATTATTGCTCTACTCAATAAAGCTTTTTTAGTATTCTGTGCGGTTGTCTTCTAATACCTTTTAGGAGTGCTAACGTAGAATTGCTTTAAAGATGGTGCACTATCCCGCCCAAAATCCCGCCAAAACTCCCCCACACTTTTCTGTTTTACTATATAATATAGATTATGAAGCACTTTTTAGGTTGTTGGTTTAAAGTCGGTAAGTCAATTAATTTTTAAATCAAGTTTGTAGACATGTACAAGATTATCATAATTGTATATGTTCTATTTCTACTTGTGATGGAAAGGAAGGCCTAATTTTTTGTTGCACAGGGCCTTTATTTTAACAGGACCGACCCTT